TTGGCGGCTCGTAAACCATGATTCAAGCAACTGACAGTTCATACGATTGTCAATTCTCGCGAGAGTTTTGGCCACAGCGAAATTGAATATAGGTCCCATAGAATGAGCCGCGACTTGATAACTGACGTCATTTCTCCACAATGCTGCTGCATGTTTATCAATTCGGATGGGGAGCGGTCCTCTATCTTCGCCGATGTAGGTGTTTTTCCCCAGCTGCACCGGATCAGATAAATGACCTCAGATGTTTGCTGCAGTGGCAACGGATCCCTTGGCCTCATTACCTGAAACCCTAATGGTTGCCAGTAGTTATCAAGTACTTCGGTTCATCTTGCTCTAGGAGTATCAGTCTTAAAAAGAACTGTGTGCCCTGATTGGTTTGAAAGCGCCCGATTTATTGTTTGATATTTCAACACAAAAGGCAACTGAAACTGCCGTTTGAACGTAAATATGGAGTAAAGTACTGTTCGTTTTATTGAGCACTATGCGCATTGATGAGGGGAACGAATTTGTTTTTTTGAAAAGTCAGTTTATTAAGCAAAACATGTTTTTGGGCAATTCTTCATCAGGCCCTTTGTAAAACAATGAACATTTGAACGTGTATAAATATCAAAAATTGTCCTAGATGGGCGCCTATTGGCCACTGCCGACTTTGTCAGGCTGCGCAAGTGGTCGGCCTGTTTGGTGAACGACGGCCACTTGTGGCTGGGGCGATGTGCTTTTCAAACAACCATTTGGCAATGGTGTGATAAGGGGACTTTCGCATATCTAAGATTGATTTTTTGTACACGTTAAACTGTTCAGTGTTTTACGAAGTTAAGGGCCTGACGAAGAATTGCCGAAAAACATGTTTTGTTTAATAAACTGACTTTTCAAGTTAACCATGGGAATATTTACCAAAATTTGTTTTTGCTAGGGGATACCGAAAGTTGACCCTTAGCTGTTTCATTCACTACTACTTTGCCTACTATTTAACACGTTAACTTGTGCTTTAAATCTGCTGGCTATGTTGAAGCATCATAACCCCTCTCGGCTAAGTGGTCACCGCGAAATAAATATATTTCTTCAGCTGGCGTGTACAAATAAATATATTTTCCCAAAGGACTTCTTCTGATGAAGTATACTTCTTGGGATGCCGATTTTCCAGTTCATACGTATGAATTACGCTCGCGAAGTTTTGCTGCAAGCAAGGCGATGGGAAAAGTGTACAGTACACGAAAGTCTTACGCGGGAACAGTTAACCTTTCTATACCGATACCGAAGAATGAAGATTTTACCAGTCTGTCCGAATCCGACCTGTCATAAGAACAACTCAAGAATATGAGATTGCATCTCGTTATGGTCAAAGCATGCTTGGCGCGTTCATTTAAAGTGCCCATAACAGACTCCAGAAATTCCAAGTTTCTAAGGAAAAATCCATGGACTTCAGCCGAAGCAAATTCCTTGACATGTTTTTGAATCTCTGAACGAGACGATTACTCGTGGTTGCGACAGTGAACGGCAAAAGAAGAGAGACGCGGCTAAGGGGCGATATCACTTGTCCGAAGTCACCGTGCACATATTAGAAACTGTACACCAATCTGCATAGGACGAAACTTGCATTATTGGCTATTTTCCATACAAGAAAGGCCACGAGTTTTTAGAAGCCATCAACTCCGACGACTCGTGCATCAACGGGCACTTCGAATCGGACGTGATGTACACCAACCTCAGAGAAGCAAGGAAGAGACGGCAGCCTATCTAAACTAGAAGAAGTCAAAACCAGCCACCACCGACCGCACAATTAAATGTGGTCGACAATTAGTTCCCGACCGACCCCATAATTACATGCGGGTGACAAGTATTTTTCTCCACTGACCGCATAATTACATGCGGGTGACGGTTATCGACTATTACCCTGATCCACTATATAAGCTTCTGTTAGCCATTATTTGGAGGTAACTGTTTCGTACAATCCTCCTCCGTCTGACGACAACCTGGTGTGTCGAAAATTTACACAATAGACTACGGTTTCCCAAAGGACTTCTTCTGTTGAAATATTCATCTCTTCTCCTGTGACAGAATTGCTGCCGGGGATTAGTTTCCTAGGAACCCTACAATGCTGCAGTATTACCACTCGGTTAAAAGCAATATCATTCAATTTCTGTATCCAGAGCAAATTGCGCAAGTGAGTTTCGATTCCATTGACATTGGTGTAAGCATTGATTGATTACGTGTTCTTTAGTCTCTTCGTATCCTCTCATTTCTGGGAAGAGTGCTGTATTTGCAGTTTCTCCTCTAGCCGGTGAAGTTATTAACTGGTGACGAGCAACTGTCCAATGATGTCTAATGGAGAAACTCCTTCAATATGTACATAACTATAGTCTGGAACCTATCGTGATCCATGATTTCGCTTCTGCGTTGTGGTCGTTTCCAGACTGCATTTTTTCCGAATTATACATTAATATTATCTGAGGTAAAACCACAGACGAGGTCACGTAATGGCAATCATGGTCACCCAGTCGCGCTCGATTCAGCGCAATGGCCTATGTCCGCGTGCAAAGCGCAACCTTTGCCCTCGCGCGACCGAGGCGCACACACACACTCCAGACTGGTCGGGCCAATCATCGCCCCGAGGCTGACTCACATAAAGCCCGCTTTGGGCCCTCGTGACAATTTCCGCGCTGAAAAACAGACCGGAATCCGCCCCGACAGTAGACGGACGCAGGCAGCGTTGTTGGCTGCTGTGACGACCTCGAATCCTCATACCACCCTCGCGGTCGAACCCCATGCCAGACCGAGTGGCAACTTACTCCTAACTATTCTCCAATCCTCCTGTACATAATATCCAGTCCCTTCTACTCTGGCCTTCCCATGACTTCTCTCATCTCCTAAGGAACCGGGCCTGAAATATCGTAGCTGCTAGGGTTAACCTTACAAACCTTAACACATCTCGATAGCATAACAAGCGTGAACCGCTCGTAACTAAGACAATATTTGAAACGCTGACAGCACCACTACCCTGATATCTCCAAGATGATTATGTAACGGCAAACCCTCAGACAGCCGTAAGGACAGTATGAGTTAAATGAACTACTGTATTATTCAATAGGACTTAAAGTCAAATGAAAATTAGCAGTTAAATTAACTTAAAAATGAAAGAACTACAAGTCCTTGAGGCTCATCGCAATGTTAGAGTTCCAGTGGAGGGAGCTGCAGACTACCATGCAGACCAAGAAGCTGAAAAGCACCAATTACAGGCGTCAACTGCGTTAAAACAGCCTGCCAAATAATAGGAAAATAAACAGACTCAGTTTTCTGACAAGCATAGACTATATGCAAGTACAGGGTGTCCCAGAAGTAACTGACCCTTTTGATTTGCCAATAAAACGAAAAATATTAATGCTAGGATATTGAAAGTTGTTTTATTCGAAAGAAAAACTTTTTTATTTTTATGAGAACTAGGTTTTGAATATAATGTTATTTAAATGATGGTCATGGTTGTTTTGACAACTTAGGATTCGTTTCTTTGTCCCTTCCATAACGCTCCTTAGTGTATCAGGCGATAGTTGTCTTATTTCAGAACAAAATGATGTTTTTAAATTCTTTCAGATTTAGTAGATTTGTTACATAAACCCTTGACTTCAGGTAGCTCCATAAGAAGAAATCGCATGGGATCAAATCTGGAGATCGAGGGGGCCAAGGAATGTTACCAAATCGTGAAATCAAATGATTTGAAAAGCACACATTTAACAATGTCATCGTTTCTCTTGATGTATGGGCCGTGGCTCCATGCTGTTGAAAAAAAATATTGCGTAGGCCATGTCTCTCAATTTCAGGAATTAGAAATTCGCTAATC